TCTTACTATTTGTCTAGAGTTGTGTCTGAACACTTTGCATAGATTTAGATTACCACATGTAATCCACATATTGATATGTAAAATAGGTTCCAAATGATCGTCATTTTGTAGAGTGTCATTCATCTAGTAGAATACAGCCAGGATTGTAATTCAAGTGTTCAACACGAGAAACTTTATTCTCAAACACTTTATGCTTTCCTCAATTTTCACCTCAATTTCTGGAGTAGCTCTTCAACTGCCTTCTTCCTCCTGCATTGACGCCCTCCAAACTTTCATACATATTGTAGTCAAATCTAAATCATTTCACTCTGCTTCTTAAAATCCTGCAATGCCTTCACATTTCTTAGTGTGTAGAGTTTATCATCTTTTCAGGGTCAATGAGGTCCATAATACTTTGGGCTTTCTTGTCAATTCAACCTCATATCTTGCCATATTTTCCTTCATATTCTCTGCTTAAGTGGAAAACTTGAGGTATCGTCTTTGACAGGAACGTATTTCCTAATTCTATAGGCTGGTGTATTAGCTGGACTAAACTAAACCACTAGATAAAATAGATAGAAAAATATAATGTAGTGACTCAAACACAATAAAAGCTTTTCATTTTCATGCAGTAGTCCAGGATGGGTGTTTCAATACAGGCAGATAGAGGGAGCTCTTCTCTGCAGTTCTTCAGAGTCCAAGGCTGGGTGAGTCTGCCATTGATACATAGCTTCCAAGGGTGCTGTCATCATTACCATTTCAGTCCATGAGAGACAGAAAGTTGTGGAAGAGTATACTTCCAAGTTTCATGAACCATTCTTGGAAGCAGCATGCATGACTTCTACTCATCCTCCTTTGGCGGAGCTTAATCACATGATATCACCTCTCCAAAGGGCTGAGATATACAGCCTTCGGCTGGGCCACAGTACCCTAGATAAACGCCATTGCCGTGGAAGAAAAAAATCTAAATAATGGTGGAAGGATTTGCCATATAATGTTTACTCTTATTTGTTGTTAAGAATTGGGGTCATACGTCACCTGCCTGAAACATCTTTCCTGTCCCCATCAATCGTAGTGAAGCATCCCTCTGTGTGCTCTCATAACCGATTGCCTATTGACCGATTATCTTTCCAATTTAAATAGTGAGTTTCTTGATAGGAAAGACCTATTTATTCATCTTGATCTTCTCAACACCTAGCATGTCACTTAGCACATAATATATTGCTTCTCCAGAATATAGATTGAATTGAATTAAATTGAAATGAAATAATATGGAATATGCTAAGACTGAAAAAAGAAAAACTGATAACTGTTAGACTGGTGTGAAGGAAGCCAGTGAAGGAATGGCTGCATCAAATACTCCAGAGAAACTTACGTCTGAAAAAAGATTTCTTAGTTTCAGCTAATGAACAGAAGTAAACATGTAGAAGGAGTGAAGAAAAGGGGAGATAAGAGGTAAAAGTAGGTGACAAAAAAATGTAAAAAGAATTTCTTTCTTTTAAGATGAGAAGTCTTCTCTAGGTATCAGTAGTTATCTCTAGGTATCACTGTGGAGAGAAAAGAAATTTCCAGAAGGAGTGAAGGGATTCTGTGAATATCCAATATTTTGGAGCAAAGAAGACCCTGGAATAGTCCAACACTGTGGATTTCTTTTCTTTCTTTCTCCACTGTTCTCTGGGTCTGACTATGCAATCCATGAGCCTGGGTTAAGAACCTATACTATTTATTTCCATAGAACCATGTATTAATCACGTACCATCACATTACACACTTTATTGGAATTCTCCTTGGAACCCATTGGGAGAATGCAATTGGTTCAGCTTATATCATGTGTCTACTCTATGACAATCACCTATGGTCAGGCGGATGGGGTCACACTGTATACACATAGCCACCTGAGTGGGATGAGAATTCTTAGAAAAAGCGTTATCATGGACTAGAGAAGTCTTTACTATAGGGACAAAGTTCTAGCCAGGACCGAAGAACGCATATGAGTGTTGTGCATCTGAGTCTGCAGATAAGAGAGTGGGTTACCTCGCCTTGACAGATTTTGCTTTCTTCAAGTATGAGATCTTAGAGATATATGAATTGAGGGTGGTAAAAGAACGAGGCTTGAAAAGTAAGTTGAAATAGTCTAGGAGAGAAGACCGAAAATGTAAAAATTTGTGCTTTCTGTCTACTTAAAAAAATGTCTCTCTTTCTCTGTTATTGTTTTTTAATAAAGTAAATCTTACTGGGAATGAATAGGTGTCACTTCAGCAAAGTCTAGTTTCTAATTAGCTGTCTAGGTTTCAGAGAGATGAGTGAAAGAATTTCATGCATAATAATTAGCAAGAGGTAAAATTAAGCTATGATTTTTTTAATTATGAAAAAATATTTTTTTCCCCATTATTTGCTTAAGACGATGTTGTGAATTGCTTGTTCTGAAGGATAATGAGCTGCCTTCAAATAACAAATCCCCAAAAGAATATTAATGTTATTCTTATTTTTGTATATATTAGGACCAGCATTAAAACGAACAAATAATTTGCTTATAATTATACTTCCAACATTTTTTTATAATCTTTCTTCAGAGTGAATGGCCTCTAACAGGGCAATTGAAATAGTTCTCATTTTTTAAGAGCTTTATTGAGACATAAATCACATATCATAAAATTCACCCTTAGAAGCACAATTCGGTGATTTTTAGTCTATTCGCAAAGTTATGCAGCCATCACTACTACGTATTTTTAGAACATTTTCATCATCCCCAAAAGAAACTCCTTAACCATGGACAATTGTTTCCGTCCCATCATCCTCACATCCCTAGACCCAATTCTAGGTAGCCACTAATGTCCTTTATGTCTCTATAGACTTGATTATTCTGGAAATTTCATATAAATGGAGTCATACAACATGTGGTCTTTTGTGACTGACTTCTTTCACTTAGTATAATGTTTTCAAGGTTTGTTCAAGTTGTAACAGGTACTAATACTTTGTTCATCTTTTTTCCTGAGTAATTTTCCATTGTATGGATATACCATATTTTGCTTATTCATTCATCAGTTGATGGATATTTTGAATAATATTTATATGAACATTTGTGCACAAGTTTCTGTGTGGACATAAATTTTCAATTCTCTTGGATATATACCTAGAAATATAATCTCGGGGTCACGTGATAACACTATTATAACATTTTTGAGGAATTGCCAAACTCTTTTCCTAATCATTCCCACCAGAGATGTATGAGGATTCCAATTTTGCCGTATCCTCATCAATATTGTTATCGCACACCTTTCTTTATTATAACCATCCTGGTGAGTGTGAAGTGGATATTGATATGGTTTTGATTTGCATTTCCCTGATGGCTAATTATGTTGAGCAACTTTTCATGTGCTTGTTTGCCATTTGTATCTTCCTTGGAGAAGTGTCTATTCAGATCCTTTGCCCACTGTTAATTAGGATATTTGCCTTTTTTTTTTTTTAAGATTGGCACCTGACCTAACAACTGTTGCCAATCTTTTTTTTTTTCCTGCTTTTTTCTCCCCAAATCCTCCCAGCACATAGTTGTATATTTTAGTTGTGGGTCCTTCTAGTTGTGGCATGTGGGATGTCGCCTCAACATGGCATGATGAGCGGTGCCATGTCCATGCCCAGGGTCTGAACCCTGGGTCGCCGAAGCGGAGCACATGAACTTAACCACTCGGCCATGAGCCTAGCCCTGGTTATTTGCCTTTTTATTGTATGAATTCTTTATATATTGTAGATACAAGTTTCTTACCAGATATACATTTTGAAATCATTCCTTCCCATTTTGTGGATTTTCTTTCTTGATGGTGTCTTTTGAAGCACAAAAGTTCTTAACTTCAATGAAATCCAATTTATCTAATTTTTTTCTCTGGCTACTTGTACTTTTGATGTCATATCTAAGAAATCGTTGCCTAAACCAGGGTAACAAAGATTTATACCATTTTCTTCTAACAGTTTTATTGTTTTAGTTCTTAGGCTGAGGTTTATGATCAATTTTGAGTTAATTTTTGTATATAACTTAAGGAAAGGGTCCAACTTCATTCTTTTGCATGTGAGTATCCAGTTGTCTCAAGACCTTTCATTAAAAGAATATTTGTCACTTCATTGAGATATTTGTGGGAATTTCTAGGAAAAGAAAGGAATGTTTGGTTAAAGTTCACCAGACTCTTGACTGGCAGTCTTCTGGATGGCTAGGTTACTTTGATAGAGAAACAGTGGGTCCATTATTTTTCCTCAGAAGTTATTTATGCATCTTATCAGAAATACTATTTGCCTCCTGGAAGATGGTTATCAGTTGCCTCACTGAAATAGCTTATTTTCCAGATCAGGTTTTAAACTTTCTTTTTAATAGACCTTAGCAAAAGGGAGATAGCAGAGTTCCAAGAAATCTGCTCTTTTGTTTAATAAAAGTTCGGATAAATTTTTCTTTTGGCCACAGGAAGATATAGAACTTAATATATTAAGGTAACATTTACATTTATTTAGTTTCAAATGCTAAAAGAAAACTTACTATAGCAAACTAAGAGTAAAGCCTTCTGTGAAAACAACAAATGTTTTCAGTCATTCAAATGATCACTGGCAAAGCTATCAAGGTCCATCTTCCACTTTTTTGGAAGTCCAGATTGGTTAGAATCCTGGGGTGGCTTAAAGGAACAAATATCCTGTATTTGAGGAATTGAGAGATTTGTTCTTCTTCTTCTTCTTCTTCTTCTTGTTTTGTTTATTATTGTTGCTGTTTTTGTGTATATTTGTTTGAATCAGTCATTGTCACAGTCCAATCTGGACTCCAGAAACTTGTGTTCACACAGGTTGCATGAAGCAAAATATTATAATACTTAAACAATTCTCCTATATTTTTCAAGTCAGAGAAATTGATTTGTAACAGACCAATGATGGAAATAATAGGACTATTCTAAATCCATTTCCTAGGTGAAAAATGAAAACAGAGAAGCTATTATACAAATGATCTCCATGCAAAAGCTTTCAGAGCCATTCCGCCTAAAGGAGATAATATGCAATGTGGAGCTAAGGGGCAAACCAAAATGGACTTGCCTCATTTGATTTCAAGTCTAATGCTCAGCTAATGTTTGTTTTCTGAATGGATATTAATTAATCATCCTTTTAGTCACCTGTTTGGTATATTTGTGTTTCTGGCCACTAGTACCCATATTTTTTAGACAAATAATTTTCTGTTTTTACAAGAATGTAAGTTTCAAGAGTGCTGAGATGTTTCAAAGTTTTGTTTGCTGCTGTGTTCCATAATCTAGAACAGTGTCTGGCACGTAAGAGATGCTCAATAGGATTTTTTTACTGAAAGTTGAATGAGTCTATTTTATTTAGAAATAATAGAAACAATCTGCTACATTTTGGGGAAGGGCAGGGAAAGAAGGAAAGAGAGTTTCCAACATGTTTACAAATGTTTGAATATGGGAAATCTACGTGATATGCTTTTGCACATTCACAATGTAAAGCTTGCCAGGAACAAACACAAAATCGTTAAACATAGAGGATAATCAATAAATATTGTTGATGGAATTCCTTCCAGTAGTCCATTCTCAAAGATGAAATATTAGAGAATGTTGAGTCCTTTCACTTGTATACATTCCAAAAATCCAGTTCAATGGATAGTTCCTTGAAACCATTTCTTTCTCAAAGGTCTCTGAAAGAGAATAAAAACATCTAGGCAATAAAAGTTTTAGAACAGGATTTATTCACTATTTTATAGGGTGGAAAACCAACTAACTTTTCTCCAGAGAAGTAGCCCACTGCAAGAGTCCCATTTCACTTAGGGAATAGAGACTAGTTTGACTGTGATTTTTCTCCATTATGAAATGAAGCTTGACTTCTCTTTTTGCATCCATCCGAGAATAGTTCTTACAAAACGAAATGATCTAAAATTTTTACTGACTGAATCAATGGTAATGTTAGTAGAGTAAACTTCACCATAATAGAACAGCATAGGGGAATCGATACACGCACTCTTCATTCCTGTAGATAATGCACGTCATTTTTACTTGACTGGAGGATATCTATTCTGTATCCTTATTTAATTACAGGTCTGCCTAAATTTTGAGGAAGTTCAGTATAGGTGAAAGAATTCTGGTCCTAAAGTACCAATATCTGGATCCAAAGCCTCGGTTCTCTCATTTATTAGATGAGTGATTTTGGAAATTTAGTGTACTAGTAAAATTAAAAAACAAAAGAAACACCTGCCTCCAACTACACCATAGGTTTGTTTAAAAATCAAGTGAGAGAATGGATGTCAAAACAGAGACCTTGAATATTTAAGCTTAGCAACTTGCATGATGCTGGAATAAAAGGTCGAATAAGTTGTGACCCTGCTTTCACACCACTTAGTCCATATAGGAAACAGTCACATCAATGGGAAAGTTCTGTATGAATGATAGTCCTCAGCAGGGTGCTGTAGAGGCATGATTCTGGAGGAGCCTAGAACCGCTCTAACTTTTCTCTTCAACTGGCTTACTCAGCAGGTTTTGTGATCAACTTTCTGAAGTCCTTTTTAACTCTGAGAATAAACAAGCCTAGTTTTGGAAGATATTTTCTTTTAAATGCTGTCTAGAGTGAGTGGCATCAGTTCCAAAGGCATGGCCTATTCCTGGAATCGAAGACAAAATGGAATAAGGAAATATCCGTAGAGCAGAGAATTATTCTTAGTTGCTATTCTGATTTTGAATAAAAAGATTTACCTAAATCATTTAAATTTTGGAGGCATGATAAAGGCTATAAGTTTTGAATATACCCAAAGTAATTAAGAGTTTTTATTAAGCCCAAATCACTAATTTCTATGATTCTTTCTTTATTGCTCATCACTAACTGTGTTACCTGAGACACCTTATCTAAATTTTCTAAATCTCAGTTACCCCAAATATAAATTGGAGATAATAACACCTACCTCATAAAACAGTTGCAAGAAGCGTATTGTAGAGAATCAATACATTTTAGTCTATTATTGTTACTATTTTATTCACAGAGGTTACAACAGTAACTTCATAAATGACCTTCCAATCATTTGTGCTGTGCTCTGAAATTCCAAACCAGTTCTGCAAATAGCCAGCTTCCTCTGGCTTCCCTCCACTGGACTAGCAAAGATGCTACAGTAATGTTGCCTCAGCCAGGCAGAGGACCTGAAGGGAAAAGACGACCTCATTGTGAAAAGAGAAAGCTGTTGTGTCAGTTTCCAAGGAAAGCTATATGGAACCAAATGGAAGGAAACACACTGTAGAGTTTCTGTGGGGATATGCAGTGGGGGGACATGAGAGCTGCGGGAAAATGCAGAGATCTGTAGAACTGAGCTAGAAAACTTGGGATTTTTATTTTTATTACTTTAATAAGAAAAGTAATCAATTTCTGAGTAATTTTCTTGGCTTAATTACCTTTTTTTATGTTGGATTCTTCCTGAAGTTGGCTTCTTTCATTGCAAAATGTTTTCCAAAAGATGTTACAGATTTTCTCATTTACACTATGTAGCAAGAATGTAGCTTTCTACAACCATCAAATAAAAGTTTTGATAGAGGCGTCCCTGTGGCCGAGTGGTTAATTTCACACACTACACTTTGGTGGCCAGGAGTTCACCAGTTGGGATCCTGGGCATGGACCTATGCACTGCTCATCAAGCCATGCTGTGGTGGCGTCCCACATAGAAGAACTAGAATGATTTAGAACTAGGATATACTGCTATGTGCTGGGGATTTGGAGCGGGTGGGGGAAGAAAAAGATCAGAAACAGATGTTAGCTCAGGGCCAATCTCAATTAAAAAAAAAAAAGTTTTGAGTTTCACTTTGATTGGACCAATATGACTAGTAACTGTGACCACAGCAAATACTACACAGCCATTGGCTTATGCTTCAATTATTGCTCATCTTTGAACCTGTGATTTAGCAACAGGCATTGTGATGATACCAGTTTGCTCACATTAATTGATGTGCACCCAGGGAGCTAGAAGTGAGGCCAATGCCCATCCATATCATAGGACTGCTACATGGAAAAAGAGTAATGCTCTAAGAGATAGGCATTTCCCAAAGACAAATCTGGGTTTTGCTAAAAACAGGTAAGGAAGAGGAAGTGTTTGCTAAGGAGACAACTGACTAACAATCACTCCATACTCAATCAAAAAGTCACTTTAGTTCAGTTGGTAAATGCCATCTCTTTTATTGCAAAATGAGCAAACATGGAATGAAGATACCTAACATGGACTGATTTTGCCATGCACTCTGTTACCAGCCGTGTTCAAAGTACCTTCTGTAAGTCTTGAAATATGTTTGGTATGAAAGTAAAGTTTTAGTTTCCTTATTTTACAGATCACATTTAAGAATCATTCCACTTAGAATTGATTTACTACGTATCCTGTGAGGTAGAGATCATTTTATTTTTCCCCTGTGAATCCCCAATTAATCAGGCATCACTCATTTTAAAAGCAATCTTTTCCCCGCTATTTTGCAGTGCCAGTGCTAGCCTTATTTTAACCACTTGTCCACATAGGTATGGGACTGTTTCTTGGCCCTTTATTCTCTTCCATTGGTCTATCTATCCTTACGCTAATTCCAAACTAGCTTGATTATTGTAGCTGTATAACACATCTTGCTTTCTAGTATAACAACTCCTCCAACTTTGATCTTCAAGAGTGTCTGAGCTATTCCTGACCCTTTGCATTCCCATGAAAATTTTAGGATTTTTTTGACAAGCCCTACGAAAAATACAAAAATTTCTCTCAAGATTGCACTAAATATACTAACTTGAGAATTGACATTTATTAATATCAGGAATGGATATTTAATTTTATTAGTTATTTTTTCTATATCTGTTAAATAATTTTATATCTTTTCTCCTTTGATCCTCAAATGGGCAATTTATTTTATAACATTAAATCAGCTTTACATTTCAATAATGTACAATCTTTAACAAAATGCATTATACTTCTTATACATTTCTACATTTGTGATTTTTGTCACAATGTTCAAGAGTGAATTAGGTTTGTAATTTTCCTTTTTTGTAACTTATTTTATGGTATTTGGTATCAAGTTTATGCTAGCTTCATAAAATGAGTTGGGAAGTTTTTCAGTTTTTTTATTCTCTGATGGAATTTGTATAAGATTGACATTACTTCTTAACTGATTGAATGGGCTGCTGAAGCCACATGAAACTGAAGTTTCCATTGTAGGAAATTTTTAAATTATAATTTTATATTCTTTAATTGTTTAAAAAATCATCATCCTTTTCTTTTCTTCTTGTTTTCATTTTGGTAAGTTGTAAAGTTTGGTAGCTTTATTATATGTTATATCATATACTATTTTTTTTTAATATTCACAAAACTAACATGAGGACCCTTTTTCATTCCTGTTTGTTTTTGCTTTTGTTGTCTTTGCGTGTCATATCCAAGAAATCATTGCCAAGGCCAATGTCAAGAAGATTTTTCCCTACGTGTTCTTCTAGAAGTTTGGAAAAAAGATAAAAACAAGAATAAAGAGTTAATAGTTCAAGGCTCAGAGGGTCAATATGGGATAGGTACAGCATCCTTCCAAAGACAGAGGCAGAAGCTTAACAGATTTTAGAAACTTGGCATAGTACATATTGGATTGACTTGATTTTCATGATAAAGTTGGAAAGGAAAATGAGGAAATGTGGTTGAGACTACAGATTGAACAAGAGCAAAGAGTGTGAAAATTGTTTAGGCCATAAATCCAAAAGTCTGCAAAGATGAATGAAAAGATTGCTATGTGGCTTCAGAAGATCAGATAAGGATATGTAACCTAATTGTTTAGGGGACCCAGTCGTCAGAGCTATATATCTTTGACCACTAAGGATTGATAGGATAAATTCTCACATTTAAAACTGCTGGGTAAAAATGCACGTACATTTTTAAGATGCTATGCATGGTACCAAAATTGCACATCAACGCTCTATATGTGTCTTAGTGAGTTTGCGCTGCTATAACAAATACCATAGACTGAGTGGCTTAAATAACAAACATTTATTTCTCTGGAGGCTGGGAAGGCTAAAATCAAGGCAGCAGAAGTTCTGGTGTCTAGTGAGGGCCTGCTATGTCCTCACATGGCAGAAAGAGCGAGAAAGCTCTCTGAGGTTTCTTCAACAAGGATGCTAATCTCATTCGTAAGGGCTCCACCTTCATGACCTGATCACCCCCAAGGCCCCATCTCCTAATACCATCACACTGGGGGTTAAGATTTCAACATATGGATTTGGGGGGGCACAAACATGTAGTCCATGACAGTAAGAGTACTTGTTTTTTTCCTAAAACGTATTTCCTTTCAGGAAACAAAAATGTTTAAAGAAATTATTGTTGATTTTACACTAGAAAATCAGTAACAAGAAATTATTAGTGAGATTATCATCAATTTATACAAGTATTGCTTTTTTATGTGTTTCCAAAATTTTCATTATAAAATTTTACAATATTATAACGAGAAAAAAACATTTCTCTTTAATAGACAAGATAATAACTCAAAGCTATGGCTTGGCAAGTAAAAGCAAGAGGGAAGTTCTGGTAAGTGAGAGTTTCTAAAATACCATTACAGTCTTCATTAGATAATGGATCATGGAGTGTAGATAATCAGCCAGCAGGTCCATGGGGGTTAGTGAAACCAAAACATGCATGTGAGAGGATAGGTGGGAATGAGAGGAAACAGAGAATAGGTAGAAGGCTTGAGGCCATGGTGAGGCTGGAAAAGAGGATATGTGGAAGGAAGAAATAAGAATGGCAGGGGGGCAGAAGTTTATTGGTATAGACACAGGACTCTAAGCATGAGGTCTGTGACATAGAGTGCCTTACAGAGGTAATATGTGCACACAACATCCCCTTGGATGTTTAAAACAAAGATATCTGGGTCTCCAACAATATCTTCTGAATTATTTTTATTAAGTTCCCCATGCAAACTTCATGTATACTAGAGTGTGAGAAAAATTGATTCAAGGATTAGGCAGCACAAACAGAGGAGAGACAGAGGTTATTGAGTTCAGGAGGCTGAAGGAGTGACAGTTTTGAGAAGATGATGAATTTGTTTTATTTATGTTCTTCATTGAGGAAGGACAAATTATGGCACAAACTAGAGAGAAAGAGAGAGAGAGAGATTGAAAAAGATTAGGAGAGAGACCATTTATTGAAGGACAGCATGGAAACCTTGGTTAGAAGTGGTAGCAGGTAGTACGGAAAATGCTGATCCCTTTCCCAGCTATAGGAGTAGAAGGTGCACAGTGATTACAGGAGGGGTCTGAAGGAAACAGGTGTTTCATAGCTCAGTTTACATAACGTAAAGAGATTAAATGGATGTTTGAGAAAAACTACTATGGAAGGAGCATAGGAAATGTGATTCCCCAAATAATTTGGAGACTCAATAAAAAATTGACTTTTTCTTTTTAAGATTTTCTTTTTTAATCGTGGATTAACTATTCCCACGAATTATCCCAGGAAAAATTAAATACTACACTTAATTAGGTTCTTTTTCTGCATAAAATCAATGGACTTATTTTAACATCACTTTAAATTACAGAAATTCCACTGAAATGCATAAAAGTAAATTGCTAACAGTGTATATGGATTTGATTTTCTATTTTTATTGCAATCTATTTAATAACTTTGGAAAAGTTGTTCTTAATTGCTTAAGATAATAGTGTCTGTCTTGATTACATTACTAAGGAATTTATTATGGAGAGAATTAAATGGGTATTGATTATGACTCTATGAATTTCCAAATTAATTTTAAGATTTAAAAATGTAAGTATTAGTTAGGTTTTAGATTGCTTTCACACTTTTTTTTTCTTTTACACATATACCAGTCCAATTGCAGCTAAACTGGTCCTGGGAAAAGGCCCAACTTTTAGGGAGAGGAATGTCAAAGAATTTGTAGGCTTATTTAAAAACTACTACAGCCAATAATAATCATAATAAAAATATTAAATTACTTAGCTGCAAAATGATCATATTTTAAATGTTGCTTCTCCTGATCTTAGGAATTGTCTCTTTCTTGACCATATGGTGAACAATTAATTGAGACAGAATACATAGTTCAGCTTCTAGCTGAACCCAAAAAAAGAAATTGCATTTTTTTGTTTGTATGGGTACAAATACTCTATCACTGGAAAAACAAATTAAAAAATGTTTCCTTCTGAAACATATTAATTTGATGCAATTTCTAATTAATCACTGAAGTGAATAACCAAGAAAACTGGCAGCAATTTGGAGCACTATTTTCTCTAATTTAATAATAATTAATATATACATTAGAGCAGTCATTTCCTCAATAGATTTATATTATTGGCAAATGGTTTTTAAATATGCCTACAAATTCTTTGACATTCTTCTCCCTAAAAGTTGGAACCTAGTTCCCCTTAGTTTGAGCGTGGCCAGATTAAATGACTGACTTATAACAAATTTGTATCACTAATATATTTTAATTCTATGAAATTACCCAATTCTGAAATTATTCTAATTGTTTTTCTCTTTTCTTAACTTGTTACATTTAATTTCCTTAGAATCGTAATTATTGTCTTCAATATAATTAAAAGATCATGAGTCCATCAGGAAGATGTTTCCTTGGCTTCAGTTGTGTGGCTTACCATTGATTAAATTATTGTTCAAAAATATTGATTCTCATTTTCCACTTTTTCCACATACAGATCTAGAACTTGGTCATGGTCTTATGACTTGTCTGAGCCAATGGATGTTATTATATGTAACACAGGCAGCAATTTGGGCATTGTTTGATGGTTGGGCTCGCTCTCTTGTGTCTCTGCTATTGCCAAGAGAAAAACCCACTCTGATTGCACTCACAAGTTCAAGGTGTGTGAAGGCACATAAATCGTAAGTGTCCCATAAGAATCATCTCCAGTGGAACATGAATGGATCAGTCAACCTGTAGGTGATGCATAAATTACCTAAATGAGTATGCCACTGAGATTTTGTGGCTATTAAGCAGCAACAGATAATCAAAATGCTTCTTTAGAGTGTCTAACTCAATAGTCAGAGTTTTGAGGTGGAGAAGAGCAGAGAAAATTCAGATGAGATCTCTTACACTGCAGTTCTAAATGAATGATGAATGAATAAACAAACAAACAAATGTCCACAGTCCAGATTCTGTTTTAATGAAAGTGTTATAGAGATAGAAAACACTTTATAATGGAATTCACTGCCAGAGGGACACACTGTAGCATTTTATACACTTGATCATCAGACCTTTCTGACATACTCACCTCACTTTTCATCCAGGCCACTCTCTTTCTTGTTTCTCCCCTTAGTTCACTTACCATTCCTCCCCAGTCTCGTTTGCTCATTGCAACTCTTCCACTTGACTTGGAAATTTTGTTATGTTCCAGAACTCATCCTTGGAACTCTTCCATTTCCTCACTGCATCAACTCTCTAGATATCCTCATTAGTTTCAAGGCTTTAAATATATATGTTGATTTCTCCTTTAATCTGTTCTCTTGTTTGAACTTCAGGTTTGTATTTACATTTTCCTACTTGTTGGACCCATCAAAACTGAGCTCTTGAATTTCCCCCTGAACCTTCCCCATCCCAAGTATTACCCATCCTCAATAATAGCGACTCCATCATTTTACATTCTCAGGTCAAAAACATGAGTCTCTCTCGACTTCTCTCTTTTCCACATACCGTAAAACAATGTTGGGTCTTTCAAAAGATATTCAGAATGTGACTATTTATCACCACTTTTTTTTTTGAGGAAGATTAGCCCTGAGCTGACATCTGCTGCCAATCCTCCTCTTTTTGCTGAGGAAAACTGGCCCTGAGCTAACATCCATGCCCATCTTCCTCCACTTTATACGTAGGACGCCTACCACAGCATGGCTTGCCAAGTAGTGCCATGTCTGCACCCGGGATCCGAACCAGTGAACCCTGGGCCACTGAAGCGGAATGTGCAAACTTCACCACTGCGCTGCCGGGCTGGCCCCTATCACGACCGTTTTTGCTACTGACCTGGTCCTAGCCTCATTCGTCTCTCACCAGGTCTTCTGCTCACACTCCTGTCCCCATAAGTCTGTTTTCAAATATGCAGCAAGAATGATTGATTCCTTTAACATGTAAAAGCCATCATGTCTCTCTTCTGCTTGTAACTCTCCAGGGGGATCTCATCTTACATACAGCTAAATCCATACATTTTGCAATGAGGTACAAAGCTCTCAAAAGATTCTTCACCTTGTTATGTCTCTTTCCTCATGCTCTACAACCATTATATATGTAGAATTCTTCCCCAGACCCACTCTGGACACTTTACTAAGCCATGTACACTCCATGCATACTCTTGCGGCTCATTCTTCTTAGAACACAGTTCCCCCAGATTTCTGTATGGCTACTCTCCTCACCTTCTTCAAGTTACCTTTTCAATGAAGCCTTCCCTACTTCAGATTTAAAATTACAGCCCTTTTCCCCAACATTTCCTATTCCACTTTCCTGCTTTATTCCTCTCTGTGGCATTCATCATCATCTGCCATACTGTGCAGTTGGCGATGGTCATTGGACTCTAAAATCGATGGTGTTGGTTTTCAGTTCTATTTTATAATTTATATTTCATATGTGCTACACATAGAAGATGAATTTTAATTTATATGGATTAAATATGCATTTAAAATTCTTCTTTCTCAAGATTTACAAATATTAAGAGATTCATAAGACTGGGCCACTGTATTCATTTGCTAGAGCTGCCATAATAAAGTGCTACATGCTAGATGGCTTAAATAACAGAAATTTATTTTCTCATAGTTCTGTAGGCTAGCAGTCTAAGATCTAGGTGTCAGCAGGGTTAGCTTCTTCTGAAGCCTATGAGGGAAGGAGCTGCCGCAGGCCTCTCTCCTAGGCTTTTCCATGGCCATCTTCTCCCGTGTCTTTACATCATCTTCTCTCTTTCCATGCCTGTTTCCAAATTTCCTCTTCTCAGAAAGATACCAGTCATATTGGTTTAGGACCCACACTACCCACCTCATTTTAACTTAACAACCTCTTATCTTCGAATATGGCTGCATTCTGAGGTACTGGGCATTAGAACTTCAACAAATGAATTCAGAGAGGAAGGGGACAAAATTCAGCCCATAACAGCCGCTAATTCATATTCAATATCATGAACCTGAAATATAACTGATTCAGAATCAAACTACAAATATTGTGAAAGAGTGTCTACTGGTGGGAGGGAGAGGAGAAAGCGTGAAAGGGTAGATTGATAAATAAAGCACCCTCATTTAGACATTCACTCACCATTCAGGTCCTGAGCGATTTTCACATCCACTGCTAGCTGATCCACCATGTAGAATACTGGTGAAACAAAATCTGCCACATAGCTCTCCAAAGGATGTCTAACTTGTGACGTAGACCTAGGACAAACTTAGAGTTGATTACTATGCATTGAAAGGTAGAGCCATTCAAGTTGTACTTAGTTGTATTTAGGCTCTTACCCTTGCTATTTTGAAAAAGAAATTAGCTGCAAGAATGCTGAATTGAAAATATTATCCTGATTATTCATCTCTTGGGCCTTAGGCTTTTGATTTTGCCAGGCCACTGAAAGCTAAATAAATGCCTGACAGCACACACACGTACACAAAAAAGTTATTGTATTTGCTTAACAACTGATTTTTTATTTTTGCGGTGAGGAAGATTCACCCTAAGCTAACATCTGTTGCCAGTCTTCCTCTATTTTTTGTTTGTGGGATGCCTCCACAACATGGCTGATGAGGGGAGTAGGTCTGTGCCTGGGATCCGAACCCGTGAACCTGGGCCACCAAAGCATAGCATGTGGAGCTTTAACCACTCGGCTACAGGGTCAGCCCCAACAACTGATTTTTTTTAAAGCCGCTTAGGAGACTTAACCCTGGTGCATGCAGAAAATAGGTTATTCTTAGGTTTTGCAGTGTTTTGAATCCTTAATTCTCAACTACAATACTTATCTTGGAAATTAGTTTAGTTTGAATGGTTAATTTTTCAAAAAATTTAAGATGAGAAACTGGGAGTTTTAAATATTCTGTGTTTACCAACAATTGGTTCATTGTATTTATTTGAAAATTAGACAACTTCACTACAAATAAATCATAACCATTTCTAAGCCTGCCTGCTGGGGAATCACTATTATGACAAAAATTCTGGTCATGATGGGTTTCTAATGTCAAGTTGATGATGAATGATCCTGAAGCTAATTTGCTCCACTCTTTTGCCTCCAACATTTCTCTACACACTCTGGTCACCAGTACAGAGAATTCAGGTACAGAAATTTTGGGATTCGTCATTCTGACTCCTGAAAAACATGATAGGAATGGCTGAGTCCCTCAAAATCTTGGAATTGACAGAAATATCCCTTTAGAAATTTATGAGAAATGGGAAGATGATGATCTGACCCCCTCAGAAGTCAACACTTGGCACTCAAAATAAGTTTGTCAGGATTGTCCACTGACTAAGAACAGGGTGGATACAGAAACAGTTAACAATGAGTGCAGCACGGACATTAGCCAATCAGGCCTGGGCACCTAGCAACCAGTACAACTGGCTCTAGTCATAAACAAACAAGGCAACCTTCCTGGTGCATACCAACTATTATGTCTGCTTAGGATCCTGGCATGTGTGGCTTCCAATACTCAACCTGCTGTGTGACTCTGAGAAAGTCATTAAACTCTTTGAACCACTGTTTTGTTTTATTTTTCTTCTGTGTCCTGTATCATAAAAATAATACTGCCCACTTCATGACATTGTAGAATTAAAATATAAATAGATAATTAAATAAGATGATATCTGTCAAAGTCTCAACACACAAGGAAGTGTAGAGTGCACATATATGTTTGTAAACGTGCACGAGAAGTTTCCCAAATGCTTTCTCATTTGATTTCGAATTTATTATTTCAAAAAGAATATTTTGAGGTGACTAAGAATAAGAGAGAATAGGCAATTCTAAAAGATGTGAAGATATTGACTGTTTTCTCCTTTGAATAATTTTTCCAGATGATGCTTAACTGCTTAAGCAGAGCCAGGCACTATGAGATATCATGAGAAATAAAAATAAAAACCAAAGTTCCATTATCATGACTTAATATTTGATTGACCTCGGGAAGAAATATTTTGAAAAGCTTTAATAACGATGATGATAAAAATGAGAATGTTAATAATAGCAAGCACATATGTAGTTATTATGTGTTCCAGACATTGTTTTAAGTGATTTTCATATATTAACTTATTTAGTCCTGACTATGGGGTAGTTATTATCATTGTTGCCATTTTATAGATAAGGGAACTGAGGAACAAAGGTCAAGACATGTGACAAGGTCATATCCCCAGTAAGTACTGGAGCTGAGTCTTGAACTGAAGTAGTCTGATTCCAGAGACCATGAGCTTGGTGCCTTCACTATTTTTTCCTTATGCATTTCCATATTCTAGAAACTTTGACAAGTTCTTTCATTTATCATATAACATTAATGCTCAGATAAGATTCCTATTCCAATTTTGTGGGATAAGACTCACAGATGTTTAATAATTTAAAAGTCAAGCTCCGAGGGCCAGCCATGTGGCTCAGTGGTTAAGTTCATGCCCTCTGCTTCAGCGCCCCTGGGTTGGTGGGTTCAGATCCTGGGTGCAGACCTGCACACAGTTCATCAAGCCAAGCTGAGTTAGTGTCTCACATATAAAATAGAGGAAGATTGGCACAGATATTAGCTCAGGGCCAATCTTCCTCACCAAAGAAAAAAAAAGGAAGAAGAGGAAGAAGAGGAGAAAAAGAAAAAAGAAAAAACAAATAAAACATAAACGTCAAGCTCCTAAGAAGTGACAAATACAGCATTTTCACTTTGGACTCCAAATCTTGAGTGCTATGCAACAGGTCTCAGTATTACATTGAACATTTTGCAAAGTATTTTTAGCTGTCACTGTTTAATTTTACGTTGGTAAAAGTATTTCATTTTCTTTACTCAAGTTAATTTGTCTGGCTGAAGCCATAAATGTAATCCGAAAGCAGGTCTGCTACATCTAACACCTGAAGCAACGTACTAACAGCAGAATGAGCTGTGATTGCAGCCCTAGGTTCTGATTTATAGTCACTGAAATAGAATTGCACTATTTGAGAGATTGCCAGTTTTCATTTGTGTGGCATCTGGATATTCCTGTAAAATATCTCAAACAACGGCTAATAAAAGATATTGATAATTGAGAACTCCAAATGGAAGCTATAAATTGTCAAGAATTGAAGGGGGGAAAACCCACTGAGTCCACAGTTTTCTACTTTCAAGGTAAAATATATTCCCCCGTAAGGAGATGTGAACTCGAGAGTATCACTATAAAGGGCTGTGATTGATTTCCTGAGTGACTAATAGCAATCAGTCTCTTCCTTTTGAATCACACCTCATATGTCACAACTCAAAGAGTCTTAATGCCAGTTAATGTCCGCATCCAGGAAGAACAAGTAATGAATTCATGGATTGCCTTTCTTTCTATACTTCATTTAAGAAAGCTAATTGTTTAGGGAATTGACTCTCCTTGGCTCATTGGTTTAATAATACAGAAAACTCTTTTAAAATTTCACAAATCTTACATTTCACAGTGGGAAGCCTAACTCAGCCTAAATGAACAATTCTCCCTTAACTCACATTTGTGATAAGAGCAGACAGTCTTGCTCATTACTGAAATGTAAACAGATAATGAATGAATTTACTAACTGTTCTTCCCTGCTGGGGCACTTAGCCTTTGGGTAGCTTTTAGTTCTAAACTATACATAAAGCAAATCCTCATTAATTTGAAGCAAAAGATGACAAATTAAAACATTTTGTTCACCAAAATTGATGTTCTAGCTCAACAGACCTCTACCACAAGAGTGTCTCCAGATCACTTGTGAGAAATATCACTGGTATTTTATTATTTTATTGTTTTTTGCAGTAATTAGCATGGGTTCCAGGTAGCCCTACAATAATATTACACTCACGCATTTGCTTTCTGAAATGCAAATTCAGAGTAGGAGAGAAAGTGTTATAGCTACTGCACACAGAATTGCTTACAATCCTAGATATATCCAGGGGAATATGCCTCATTTGTGAATGTCATCAGCTATATGTTTCCAGAAATAAAACAGGTTGAGAACCACTGATTCTAGTTGGTTAATATTTCAAGTCTGATTTAAAGAAAGTATCAATTCTCAGTGTTAAAAGTATATACAAGCAGAACAAATTAATAGGCAGATATCCAATCCTCGTCTTCTAAGATTTATATTATAAGGTCAGTACTGTTATCACAGACAAATAAGTCAAATACTCACGTGTGACAAAGTAAAAGCATAATGGTAATAATAGCACGATTGATAATAGCTATGATTCCTGGAGTCTTTGCTATATAATAGATGCTACATTGGTGATCTTATCTAGTCCTCCCAAAAGTCCATGGAGGTGATGTTATTATCCTCATTTTTAGAGGATAAATAGGAAGCTCATAGAAGCTGAATAACTTACCCCATAGCCAATAAATAGTGAAGGCAGGATTTAAATTCAGGGCTTTCTCAAATTCATGTGTCTATGCTTTTCCCATATGCCATTGAAATATGTCAACACCAACCACAGATCAAATTTATGTCTGATTTTTAGTCAACATCAAAGATGAGTGAGACTAGGGTAGAGAAACTGGAAAGGGTTGGGAAGGGTACTGTGGCAGTTAGAATTCTAAGATGGCTTCTGATGACCTGTGCCCTTGTATAATCCTCTCCCCTTGAGTGTGGGTGGGATCTGTGAATATGTCAGGATACTTCAACTCACAGAGCAAAAGAGAAGGAACGTTTTAGATGTAATTAAGGGCTCTAATCAGTTGACTTTGAGTTAATAAAAAGGAGAGTCTCTGGGTTTTGAAGGTAAGCTCTTAGTTGGAAGGCTTTTGCCTTACTTAAGCACAGAGATGCTCTCCTGTTGGCCTTGAAGAAGTAAGCTACTGGGCTGTGGGAGTGATTGTGGAAGGGGCCACACAGCCAGGACCTAAAGGTTGCCTCTGAGAGCTGAGAGTGGTTGTGGACTGAAGCCATCAAGTAAACAAAACATATTGATGCTTTCTAATCTTTCTGGATGATTTCCTAGAGGAAGAAGAATTCAGAAATCAACACTGCGTGATACTCTGAAAGATGGTAAATAGAAGGCAACTTATAGATGGGCTTTTGGAGAATGCTATTTAGTAAGTGACACTCAATGTCATGCCTAAAGGCTAAAATTTGAAACAGCATTGATGAAAGAAAGGAAAGAATAAACTTCATTATCTAGGAAGAAAATAGCGACTAGTGTATATAAGAATATAATATCCTTCCTAGAAAGCCCAAGTAAAACAGAGAGTGAATGAATGTATGAGGAAGTTGGTTTGATATCCAAATTTAGCTATGTTCAATATTTTGTTAACCTCACTTTGACATGAAAAATGTACAGAGATCTTGATGAGGCTTTCATATAGAAAATAGCACCCTATTTTGACCAAAAATTTGATCTGAAAAGGTTATTTCATCTCCAGGCTGAAATGTAAAATACCACCTCCTCATTGTCTTATATGTGTTTCTGAAGCTCTCTGACTTCTAGAGGCTCAATCAAAGTGCTCAGAGAAGCATCAAAACTTGAGATTTAATAGAGACTGTGACATCTGCATTGGCATTAAGTTGTAGAGGGAAATAGGATCACATCGAAGCCAGGATTATGAAAATTATATGGCAAGTAAGTCATTAAATGAAGACAGTGCATGGTGATGTTACATCCACAAAATGAAATACTGTGTACCTATTACAAATTTTGTCTGCAAAATATTTATTGACTTAAGAAAACAGTAGTGGGTTAAATGGAAAAGTAGGATCTTAGTCTGAGGGCTATTTTGTTAAAAAAAAAATTTCAGACATAAGACATGAAAAAATAGACCAATGTATTGGCAGCTCTTAGCTCTAGACAGTGGGATTATGTGTAATCTTATTTTATAATTTTTTTGCACTTATGTACTTTTATGTATTTATATTGTTCATTAGTATGCAAATTTTAAATGAATTTTATTATTTTTAGAATCAGAAAAAATCAAGCTGGGAAATTGAGCTTCATAGCGAAGCATTAGAATTTGAAATGATCTAGGTGATCTATAAAAAGTGAACAAAATGCAATCACTGAATCCCTTGCAGCTTCCAGATAGTCTCATTCTAAGCTCACATAGGGATATGTGCAAAGAGAGGAACATTCTTCGGCATTTGGCCAATGTCTATGGTTCACAATGTATCATAAATGAAACATTATTGAGTTTCCTTAACTACAAAAAGCGGCGATCAGATGAGCTTTGTGATCTCTTCCGGCTATAATATTCTGCAGGTCTATATTCTGTGATTCACTGGTATAGAGTTGTTATAGATTTTCAGATTTGCATGGTGTTTAGAGACTTTTTTGTTTAAAAAAAAAGCCAAACTGGAAACATGCAGCCTTAGAATCTATTCTATCATGAAGGACCTGAGATGCCAACAGAGAGACAGTCCGGCGTGACAGACAAGGCCATAGGCACTGGGACCAGATTGCCTATGGATTGCCTATGGTTGAATGACATTGTTGACATATATAAAATGTGTGAAATGAGACAAGTTACTTAACCTCTCTGTACTTCAATTTTCTCGTCTAGGGATAAGTGCTGAACTCATAGGGTTGGAGTGACGACTGAATTAATTAATAGGTGTAGAGCACTTAGAACATTGTCTGGCACATGTTTAATACATATTAGTTATTGTGTTCCCCACCTGCTTAAATAGGAAGGAAAAAATGAGTCAAATGGAAAACAGTCCAAGGGGATTGGAGCAATTTATTCTGCATTAGATCAGGGCGAGCAGGGATATCTACAATTTCTCAGCCAAAGTAACCTTATTAACTTGCTTGATTGCTTCTCTTCTAAAACCTGATATTTTACCTTTAGAAAAGTAGAGAGGAGGAATTTTGTGGGCATATTTCTAAAGATGGTAAAATAACTGCAAGGTTCTGGCTCAGAGGAGGAAAGATTCTGTACATAACCTGGTTTGCCAATTTAATTTTTACCTTTCCTTCAAGGCCATGCTCAAAAGCCATTTTCTCTAAGTTTTTCTGTTCATCAAGAATAGAGGTGCTCTTCATCTCATTTAAAGTCATCCTTTGTGTTAGCTTAACATGACACTTTTTATAGAATCTTTTTTCATATGAAAGTGTAAGTATTGTTTTTTCTTGAATAAACTGTATTAATAATTTATTCAATAAATGTTTATATAGTGCTTATTATGTTCAAAGCTCTGCTCTAAGCACTTTGCAAATATTATCTCATTTAATCCTTGTGGGAGATTGCAAAATACAGCCACGATTCCTCCCATCTGTGTTTGCACGCCTCTTTGTAATGTGACTTTGTCATGCCTCCCAAGTGTACTTCTCCATCCCCTCGAATCTGCCTTGCTCTTGTGATTTGTTTTGACAGCAGAATGCAGCAGGAGTGACATTTTGTGAGTTGAATCCTTAGGCTGAAAGAGCTCTTGCAGTTTCTGCTCTCACTTTCCTGCTGTCCTAAGATTGCCTGGTAAGGGAGCCACACTGCTTGAGGAGAAACAACCACATGGAGAGACAGGCAACCAATGGCTAGACCACCTCCCAGATAGCTGAGTGAAGTTCTTAGATCAAATATCCAGATCACTAACTGTGTGAGTGACCCAAGCAAGAGCAGCAGGAGAACCACCCAGTGGATTCCAGCCACTCAGTTTGGAGAAGTTTCTTTTGCAGCAAGGGCAAACTGATACACTGCCCATAATATTCATATGAACTAGATCTAATACCATTCTAATTTTACAAATAAGGAAGTTGAGGCAAACTAAATAAATTGTTCAAGCTTACAAAGCTAGCACATGGCAAACCCAAGATTCAGACCCAGAATCTGTGTTCTTAAGCACCACACTAAGCTGACTTCCTTAAATTCATATTTCATTTTATAGTCTCTTCAATTACAAAAACACTTATGAAGCATCCATTTCCTCATTAAGGACCACAAGTTCTACGACATTCTCATATGCATTATTTGGTTTGAATCTCCCAACTAGCCCTGAGGTAGGCAGGCCAACTGTCAAAATTTTTATCTTATAAATTGGAGACAGAGACTCCCAGAGATTGTGAAAATTAGTAAGCGGAAACCTCACTTAAAATAGAGTTGGGAAACAAGAAGAGAGAACTCTCAGGCACGTGCCACTCAATGCACACTACTGACTCCAACAGGAAGATGTACCTTGCATCTGTGACAGGAAGTGATACTACTTACTACCCTAGCAGAAGAAAGGAAGAAATTCCTCCTTGTCCAGCAACAGCTCAGCCAATGAGAGACTTCCATAACTGAACCAATGAAAAGCACTACACTTTGAACTCCCCGTCTCCTCCAATGGACTCTTCATTTACAGCAGCCTCTCCCAACTTCATAAAAGAACTTTGTTTCTCCAGACTTGGGAGTGGTCAGCCGTAGACTGCATGTCCCAAATTGCAGTTCTTTGCTGCTCTTGAATAAACCCATTCTGCTGGTAAAATAACTGGCCGTTTATTCGTTTTAGGTCAACGAGATTAAGTACAATGCCTAAAGTTATGCAAGTAGTAAGAGGGTAGAGTATAAAATATGTTCTCTTTTTATAGACATTGCCTAATGCACAGGTACCAAGTTTGACCTCAAGGTGCACACATTAGAATGTTCTGCATGTAATAAGTTTTCAATAAATATTTTCCATGAATAAATGCGTTGGGGGCACATCATTTAACACTTGCTTAATTTATCTTCCCCTTTCTTTTGCAAATGAAGTCATTCATGTTTCTTTTATATTTCTTCATTGCGGATACCATATACCACAAAAATATGACAAAGAACAGCCCTCATAGTCATCGGGTGTGATGACAATAATTTAGTAATACCCAGAGAGAAATGAATCTCTCTTCTTTCTATCTCCTACATGTTTCAATTCAGTACCTAGGGACTTCGGGTGACAATCACCTTAAAATGTGACAGCTTGTGAAAGGAGCAGATAGGCTGGTAAAAGGCATCTAGACAAAATGATAGGCCATAAATACAGGGACAACAGGTTTCTGGCATAAATATATGGCAGGAAAAGGAGGTTATATAGTGGGTTACCTCTCTGTAAAATCATTGATTTGACCTTTACAGAGCGAAGTTATGAGTTCTTCATTACATTCCCATTAAAAGATAAATGCACAAATATATATATTTATGCTTGAATAACGCATATGGTAGCTATTTTATTTTCAAGAGGAAATTTTGGATTATATGTGAACCTCAAGTGCTGATAAGAACCCAGACATTTTTAATTTATAATTAAATGAATAAATATCACAAATCCTTGGCACACTAAACATGAGGACTCCTGACCTATTCAAATGCTAATGTCTCATTGAAGTCCTCTGTCCATTGCCTTAGGAAAATAGGGCTTATGGGAGAGTCACTAATGCCAGCCCCAGGAGGCTGAACTTGAAGAACCAAGGCAAACACCCACCAGGAAGGCAAAAATCTATTTAAGCAGAGAGGATGTACTAAAGTGAAAATATAAATATAAATGTGCTGTTCTTTCCTCTTCACTTTCCTCCCACAGCTGTGTCTTTTGGGAAGATGGAGACAAGAAGAGTTGTCACTTTAGCGAAGTTCACTGTCAAACTTGAGAAAAAGTAGGAAGCAAATTAGTAGTATAACTATAACAGTTTAAAAGATTTTTGGTGCAAGAAGGCTTCACACTCCTGACACAGTGCTACTCTGGGTTGAACTTAATTTTACAAATCTCACATTACATAAAGTAGGTATGTGTTAGTTTTCATTGGAGTCTCTTGTATGCTAGGAAATCCAGAAACCTAAGGGTGGAAGCAGGAAGGTGAGAACAGAAGAGAATCAGACACCATATTATTACGGAAGTTTGAAGCAACATATCTAAGAAAACGAAGGATAAAATTTGCACTTTTTTAGTATTTCTTTCCTGTCTTTTCCTTTTCTCTTGGTGCAAAGGTATCCTAATGATAGAAATATTTAAATTCTAGGATCTGGACTTCGAATTGGAATATATTCAACACAGATACAGTGAGTAAAAATAATGTGCGTATCACTGCATCTCCAAGTCTAGGTATGAAATGATCTAGATCTAGAGTAACGCTGCCAATTCTACTGAAAGCAGTTCGTCTTCTCACTGCCAGCCTGGAGTGTTTCACTGCTCAGAAGATGGAGGCA